TTTTACCTGATCTTCTGTTGTATAAAGTCAGAGATTTTGGTTTGGATTTTTTTTTCTTATATCTTAAAAGGAGAACAGACAAAATGCAATATATACTGTTTACAGTATTTATTTAGTGTAATTTTTTTACTTACATGGTTGACTGGATTGATGCATCTTTTAAAATTAAGACAAGATGTGGTATTATTTTCCCATTGTTTACAATACCTGAACCGCCTTTCTTTTTTAAGCATAATACTAATATGCATTGACTTTTTAAAATAAGCCAAACAACATAGCTTATAGGTATACGTCATTCAAAAGAGTTACATGAGATATATTCATATTTTATCCTTTGTGCTCGTGCCCATTATCTACCAGCTATCAGAGGAGACATAATTATGGGGTTGGAGTCACAAATCCCTAACACAATTTTCCAGTCGAGCTATGAATTCAACACTTCCGAATGACACACACTTTTATATGAACTGTGTGATGCTGTGAGCTGCACATTGTCCAAAAAAACCCCCAAAACAAACCATCATCCTTTTAAAAGTTCCTGCTGTCTTCTGTGTTGTCCAGCTTTTGATCAAATGACTCATGTGATGCAAAACAAAGTGTTTCCATTGCAGTTTTGTGAAATGCATCTATTTCAATACGGTTGAAACACCACCTCACCCTACCACAAAAAAACAGATATTGAAAAATGTGATTTATTTTTTTTTTTTAATTGGCATAAGCAAATTTACTGTAATCATATTTTAAGAACAGGAACATTTCCACAACTCACTCCATGAGAAACTGAAAAATCCCCATCATCTAGGTAGCCCTCGCTGGTATTTTCTTTCCACTAGTATTTTCACGGTAGATGTTTTCGTCTCTGAAGTCTGTAAGACTGCACGCCTGAACCCATCTGCATGCTGTACATAAACTCTGGAGAAAGTTTGCGGCTGCAACAACAGTGTCCCAAGTGGAAAGCTTAAAATGTTCTGATGGCAATTTAAATTAGATGTGTTCCTTTCAAAAACTGGGGTGGATTCTTAAAGACTTCATCTAATATATTTGGAAAAAAAACAAAATTCACAATTTTTTCAGAAATGTGTGGTTTTTATGTTATTTTAACTTTCCTTCTCTGGCGACTTGTTTCTGGTTTTGCCATGTCACATTTATTGATCTATTTATTAATTCTAACTTTTTGGAGTTATGTTTAAAAGCATGTACAGAAACATACTGGGCAGAGTTTACATTTAAAGATATTGAAGAAATCCACCAACCTTTCAAATGTTTTTTTTTTTTTTTTTTTTTGCTTAATTCATCCTATTTATGTACAGCTGATTCACAACAAATATGGTCCTAAGGGAAAAATAAAAATCCAAACACTCACTGTCAATTAAATGTCACAACTGATTTGTCTTTGCATACTCTTCCCTCACATTACAGTGCATGAACTTCACAACATCTCAAACTGAAGTGTCTGAAAAATCCATCAGAATTAGCAATAGAGATCCTCAGTGTTCTTAACCTGATAGAGAACATTCTTCCTGCCACTCCTCATCTGTAATAGGGCCACATAATTACCAGCGGCTCCCTCAGAGCATTGCCCAGTTGATACGCCTAAGGCTCTCATTACCCACAATGCTGCCTGGGCTCTTAAATATCAAACACCTCTTTGTGCTCGAGGCACTGACCGCCCCTGAGCCTGCGGCAGCCCCTCCGTGCTCGCACTGTGTGTGTTTGTGTGGGATTGCCTGCGTAAGCGTGAAAACGTACAAGTGTGGGTCAGTGATCAAACTAATCTTGTTCATAACAGGAAACCTCACTTATGTGTAGATTTATGATTTGCATCATCCTTGCTTCCTCTAAAACGATGGGCTTTGACTCACAAAATCATACAAGAAAATGTTAACAATGTATCTAAAAATGTTGTTTTCCTCTGCACATTTTAAATGCAGAACAAATTTGCTTAAACTCTTGAGAAGATTACAGAGGACAAAGAAGACGCGCAGTAAAGAGAAAATCATGGCCTTGACTATTTCATTTTATAAGCTTTTCAAATTTAACCAAAATATTGCCCCAGGACAGGAAAATAAAATAATATAAGCATTCACTAGCATAGTCAATGATATTTCTTCTTTTTGCTGCATTTAAAAAAGTGGTTATTCTGTTATGCACTAACACTTGTCTTTAGGCAAATGTCTGAAAAATAATAGTGGAAGAAAGCTTCTTTTCAGATTAAAAAAAAGGTCCATGATTAAAGACAGAACATATCTAACTTTCAGCTTTTGTAAGTATCATCTAGAGTTTTTTAAAGCTGGTGGCAAACATATTAGCATCTCAGCCAGATTTACATTTATGTGTCACTAAAGAATGCATATTTGATGAGCCAACAAATTAAAAGAAATTACATATGAACCCAGTATTGACCTTTAATTATGTGCCCAGTGATACATGATGCTGTGTGGCTAAAAGGTTCTGCACTAATTGTCTTATGGTTGTGTTTGTGAAGTTTCTCACACAGCATAAGAGGTGCCCTCCAACTATGCATGTTACCACATAAAGCAAGCATATCTGGAATTCATTAAAGCATGTGCAACTTTATGTGCTGCCAAATAAACTTTTTTTTCACACATACTAACACTATGGTGCACATAAAAGTATGCTTAGATTTTTATCAAGCTGAGGAACTTGGACAAAGGTATATGTTTTGTCTAATTAAGGAAACTTCAGCTGTTAAATAGCTTCACAACATGAGTTTGTCTATATTTTCTCTTATTGTAAGTACAAATGTTAGTGTGTTGATTCTTCAATGACAAACAGAAAATTGTGAACTATAAGAAGTGAAAGGAACATGACATATTGTTTTAGTAAAAAATTTAAATGTGTCAAGTGCTATAGTATAACCACCTACACAATCATTAAATACTGCTTTATTGATCAAACTAATCATTATTTTTTATAACTTATAAAGATCCCCAAATATAAAAAGCCTTCAATTGAAAAAAATCTGCCTTTTTTGTAAGATGTTTAAATCCACAAGGTATTAGTTTCTTTTCCTTTCCTTTGCTTTTATTTTTATGCTTGTTTGCATAATTGCTTGATTTAAATTATACTTCTTGTTTTTTTAATGTTTTTAGCTTTTCATTAAGTGTTTTATGCTTTTACCAAGCAATTTTCTAAGTCTACATTTTAATTTACTTGTGATTTTATCTTGTGATGTTCAAAGTATTTGTATTTATTTCCTCTATTTGCTGATGTCAAATAGATACACACACCCCTTAATGTCTCCCTAAATAACAAAGACCTCTTACATCAGAAAGTGATTGCTATTGTAAGATAATTTCTTTGTAGGAATATGCACACAGTAGGGATGTATACTCAATAAAATATGCTGATTGTTAAATTGTCATATCTTGAGCATAACTGGAAAATATATATGACAGTATTTACCTGAATTGAATACATTTGATTCTGGTTTTACAAGTAAAAGTAAAGTACCTTGATGCATATTAAATAGTGACAATGCTCAATAGTTTCCTTTTCACATTTGTTATACTGACAAAAGATAAACTGCAGTCGGACTTAATATTACAATCTATGGCTTACGTGTCTTTCATATTGGCTGTCAGAATTTAAAATTATTTTCACATTTAAAAAATGTCATTTTATCTGCAAATCCAAAAATAATCCAAACAAAAAAAAAGCTAAATTGTGCTTCATTGATCTGTTTAGAATAGTTACTGGGAAAAATGTACAAAAACTAGTTTTTGTATTAGAAGGGGTAAAATACATAGCAGCTGACTTACCAATTGATTACCATAATTAGTTACAATGAAGAACTCTCCGAGATTGAGAAAGTAATAAAGAGACCCAATAAAATTAGGCAAACTCTAAGGATTAATGTCTAAAGGCTGTTTGCTCTCCTGTCCAAGTCAGCTAGCTTTTATATTTTAACCACAAATAACGTTTATATATTTATTTATGTTTTTTACTTTTCAAACTATTGTGCCTTTTTGCTTATGTAAAAAAAACCCACTATTATTGTTATTACAATCATTGTTGATACTCAACAGCTGCACAAACAATGCCTCTAACAAGTATTTTCAGTTCACGCCACTGAAAAAGTAGCACAAAAAGACCTGGAAGTCACGCAAAAGTCATTTTTCATGGCCTTTCTGAACTCCTCCCACACTCATGTTTTTCCCTCGGTGACCACCCGAGCCGCAAACCTCTTAGAGTGCTGGTACCCATCAGATGCTTCCGCAGGCCAAAAAAACCCACAAGAACTCCTTGTTCAGCCTGATGTCTCTTAGCACCAGTGTTGAATAATTTTGTTAATAAATTCTTATTCTGGGAAAGAAAATCATTCTGTACATGTGCAGAATCTTGGTGATCAGATGATGCTAGCGCTGGACTTATGCTTTCAGCTATTGCAATTATTTGTAACTATTCATATCCACAACTAAGCTCTTATTGATGCACAACATCAGTTGTGAATTATTTCTTTCCTTGGGTCATCAGAGGTGTTTTCATTCTGTGTTTCTGGGATGAGGACTAAACAAGGCAAAGCAGCATTTAGTTTTTAAGTTCATCAACTCTGAAAACAACTGTCGAAAAAAAAAAAAAAATAAAAATACACAGGAACAATTGGGGTCACAGCTGAAAACATTACTGTTAAATGCTGTAAGACTGGTTTATCATTTCTATCTTGTTTGTTTTTTTCTTTGGTTAAAGTTTGATATTTTTAGGTCTGTTTTATTCATATCTTAGGTGTTTGATTTTTCCATCTCTGTAATGATGTTCTTCCTGTAAAGCTTTTTAAGATACTCTTTGTAGAAAATATACTTTATTTACTTTTATACCTTAATCCTTAAATTATGTGTTAATTTTTTGTTGATTGTTATAGTCTTTTTATTTAATTTAAGTAATATCTTTCTTTTGATTCATTTTTGATAACTTCACCAAAAATTGGATATTACGCAATTTAAAGTAGCTGCCAGCTGGAAAATGGTAAAAAGTCTTACCGTTATCCTCAACAGAGAAGTGGAAGAGATCCATAGTAGCATTTTCTTCACCCCTCAGTACATAGCAGATGTTCAGGTCATCAATATCAGCTGTAAAAGAAAGTTACATTTATTTCTGAAAAACTCCTTGAAGTGCTCATGTGACAGTGAAATATCTTTAAAAGTAAGAACAAACAAATTTTGAGATTATATATGACAAAAGCGGAGATAATAAACTATCAAACAAAAACCATTTGACAAGAACATAAAAGAATGCAAATGAGGGTCAGTTTAATCTAAATGGTTTCATGGTCGAATCAATGTGAGGTGAGGCATGATGAAATTTTAAAACTGCCTGATAGTTTTAGTTACACAACTAGGAGATTTGTCCTTGACAGGAAATGGAAAAAAAAACCTTTTTAAAAAATAATTTGCATTTTGTGAAAAAAAACATTCATGTGATGTTTCATGCTGACTGCAGAAATAGCCTCAAACAAGCTTTTGAAGTTGTATCGCAGCCTTTTGGCTTGTTCAAATACTTCCTGCGTTCAAATAACTGTTCAGAGACGCAAGCTGTCCTGCTTTAGTATCGGCTATACTAGCAGCAGGTCTCTAGTATCACACTGATTCAATTACTTATCAGTGCTCAGCATGAACAATTTCCAACCAGAGGAGTCATTTTTGAAAGTCATGCGTCCATAATCTGGAGTGATAAGGGCTGCAAACCTGATATCCAAAGAGGCTCAAGCTAAACCAAAGACAAGAAAAAAGCTTTTAAATCTGTCCATCTCAAAACAAACAAAAAAATAAAAAATAAGGGGATGGTGGATCTTTTAATGACAGACAAGGTAAGAATGTTAAGAACAGGATTGCACAGGGCACCACACATCTGTTTCCTGAACTTTGCTGAATTACAGGGCTGTGCTAGCACCTCCCTCTCCACCATTCCCCACAAAACATCTATTATAGCACAGAGAAATCATCAATGCTGCTCAAGAACCTTCTCCCAACAAAGCTTCTTCTTAAATAATAGATGTCAGAGGAAGAAGGTTCATAACATAAAAGCCTTGACTTAAAACCCTTGACTTTTGACTGGGATGTTTACCACTTATACTGTAGGTGGCCCTTGTCTGCTTTTTCCTTTCCATTGTTTTTATTATTTTATGTATACAGAACTTGTGTATATAAAATAATATACAGGTATACTGCTTCTTACATATGTATTTTATTTTACTTTTTAGTCAAACTATAAGGCTTCAGATCATCAAAGAAATTAGCAAGATGATAGCCTAAACAACCTACAGTAGTTATAATTTAAAATATAATGACCTTCTTGATGAATCACATTTTTTATTTGGTTTGGCTAGTCACACCCAGAGAAACATACAATAGAACCAAAACAAATCACTTAAATTGATCATGACTGACCACAAAAGTAGGCATGTTCAAAGCGACACATCATGCCCCAGTCCAAGGCAATTTAACAACAGATGACAAGACAAAGTCACTGACTGACATCCTTCTGAAAACCAATTACAAAGCCATTTCTAAGGATTAAGGATTATGTGGCAAGTTAATGATTCAATCCTGGAGGCTGAATTTAAACAATTTGGCAAAGACCACTATCCCAACATTTCACCGCAGTGATGTAAAAGCTCACTGCCAGTTCATACAGATGCTTAATATCGGTTGTTGCTTTTTATATACAGTGGCCTAGTTGTTAGTTTTAGGGGCAATTACATTTTCACATAGGACCAAGCTGATTTGGATTGTTCTTCCCCTTTAATAAATGGAATCCTCATTTGAAATGTCCATGCTGTATCCATTTGTTTGTCTGAAGTTAAAATTTCCTTGATGATTTGAAACATTACAGTGTGACAAAAAAGCAAGAAGTCAAAGAAACATGTATGAGGATAAATACTTTTAACAGAACTGTAAGTGATTATTCTAAAAGATTTGGCCTGCAAGAAGAGAATCCTCCTTGCAGGACAGACCTCAACCTAAGGACCTTACAAATCTAAAGTTAACAGTGTGAACAGAGGGCACGCTCTTCATTCATTATTTAAAGAGATCGTCTCTTGGGAAGTGCTCTGGAAAAAGGACAAGTAAATAAAGAGCAAAGGATTGTCTCTTTCACCTGACTGCTTCTTTTGATGAGCCTGTTTGGTCTTTCTGACTCAATCTCTCACGACCCTTCCCTCATTCTTTATTTCTCTCATGTCACTTACATCCCCTCACCCCGCTTCGCTAGCCGCCTCATCTGCACTCTCCTTCCCCTCTTCAATGCTGTGGTGCTTCTTTTGCTTTTTTCACTCGTCTTATCTGTGCCTTTTTTGTTTGGAAAACGGCAGCCGCACACTGTTTGTAAGAAGTGTCCATCTCTTCCAGGCTTAAAGAGCTTTTTCTCGCTCTGTGTTCTCAGCTCAGATCTTTGCTTACAGCAAGCAGGTGAATTTTTGTACATGTTAGCTTAATTGCCAGGCCATTATGATTGCATTGCTTCAAACAGCAATCAGTGGCATTGTTGTCTCTGTGCATGTGTCAATACTTACCAAATTTCAAATCTGTAGAGTTCCTTGGCAATGTCAGAACATTTCCAGGACTTAATAACCAAACTTTACTCTGGATTCATAGCAAATGTTTTAAAGGATTAAGTCAGTCTTCAGATAGGAAAGCAGGAAGGATGTTTAAAAATAAATAAAATTAAAATCCAAAAATTTCCCACATACCTGTTTCTTCTTCTATGTATCCAAACATGGAAAATACAAAAATCCTATTCTTCACTTTAACATTATTCTGCAGTCTGTGTAAAAAGTCCCACACTTACCATTGTGGTGGTGGTCAATATATTCTCTATAATTTTATAAGACACATAGCATTTCAATGCTTCAAACTGACTGGACCCATTGAAATTTACTGCATCTCAAATACCATTCTGTCACTTTGAGCTCTGCACTGACCTTTTCACACCATTCTCTACCTCTGTTCTGCTTCATTTAACAGACCTCCAAAGAGAACATCAGATGTGAACATCACCCCGGGAGACGCAGAAAAAAAATTAATTATTCATCTGTTATGTCTACAAAAACAGCAGCCTGAAACTTAGGTCTGCTAATTACAATTTGATGAGCAAGGCACATCTAAATCAAACCCATAAATTAACTATTGAAATTCCCAAGTTGGCACTTGTCACACGTACGAATAATTATAACCCCATAAATTAAAATCTTTGGGAAGCAGAGTGTGAAAAATTAATCAAAACTTACTGATTTACAGGGAATTTGAATGTCACACCTTTTTCTTCAATAGCAAATCACAAGTTACGAGGTTTTAATTATTTGATCACAGAAACATGATGAAAATCAACTTCTATGAGCAAAGAATTGTGACAATTATGCTCTCAAGGCACAGTTTTCAAACATTTTGTTACAAATCATTTTTGGCAAATTACTAGCAGTACCAATTAGACAGCTACCTACTCATCGTTTGCCACCGCTAGTTAACTGGCAGAAAACAGACTAATATCACTTTGTCTCAATTACAGAAAAGACAAACTTAATTATTTTTGAAAATCTCTAAATAACATGGGCAATCATGGAGTTACATCTCAAATAACTAACCAGTCAATGTCAGCTTCACAAACACCCAGTATTACTATGTAAAAAGTAGAGAAGCAAAAGTGAATCTTATTTTGGACATTAAGAACTTAATATACAGTGTTTTCTCAAAACTGTTGCCATAAAAGAAAGACAGTAAATAAAAGATACATGATTTTCTGTTCTAATTAAAAGAAATGAGTTCACTTAATACATTTACTGCAATTTTGTGAAACTTGGTATTTTTCCTCAAACCTTTTACGCTGAATGTCATGCCAGCCTATTGCTAGTAACAGTGATTTATCTATAATGACAATAAACATTCAGACAGTTCTGTTAGAGCAAGGGGTCTTCGACCTGTTGTCAATAAGCCACCTGACTCTTTAAGCACCAGTTTCATTCATTTTTTACTGAAATCCCAAAAATTTTAATTTTGAGAAATTGGTTTGAAACAGGCAGCCACAATGACTTTTTATAACTTTGATCTAAAATAGTGTAGAAATTAACAATGTTTTAAAACTTAAAGGTATTGATATTTATAGGCTTTTTGTATGCTTTCATGCATCATCTGCATAATATTCAGCAAAAGAATATCAATAATTGTTTATGGAATCAGTTTTTCATCCTACATTAAATTAAATTACAAACTAAATGTTATTTTCTTAAGTTTCCTCAGAAACTTAAAAAAAGATTCTAAGGAAACTATCAAAAAGTCAAATTTCTGTTGTACAATTATTGATGACTTGCACTGAGAGACTGCTTCTGTACTTTTCTGGTAAAATACCGAGCAGAGTAACTTGTCATTACACTATGAAGAGTTACTGTCAGAGCTTACCTTGACTAAAGGCATCAATGGAGTTGTTTCCGTGTCCCAGGTTGACGATGTCGCCGTGTTGGGGCTGGGTAGTGATGTGGAACACCACTGACGCCGGGATGCTGTCCCTGTCCTCCACTTTTAACACTTTAGGGCTGATGGGGAACCCCAAATGACCTGTGGCCAAAATCTTCAAAGTGGCTGCACCTTTATTTACCACAATCTGAGGGACTCCATTGTCTATTGCCATGATGGTAATTTTCATAGTCTGAGGATGTCTTGTCTCAAAAATTGTGTTGGGGAAAACATAGAAGTCTGTGTGTGTGCCATCAGTGACAGTGAAGGAGAATGAGTCTTCTAGTGTTTCAGTTCCATCGTGTTTGTAGCTGATGAGGTTTTCGTTGAGGTCTTGTTTTGTAAAGCTGGCAATAGGTGTGGACTGATTGTACAGCACCTTGCCATGAACAGGCAACTGGGTTATTGTAAATTTAATCAATTTCTCAGAAGTGTCCTGATCTTCAGCAGTTAGCTCAAAGGGTGTGATTAATTTCAGTTGACCTTCAGTGACAATTAAATTATTTATAGTCACAACGGGTTTCTTGTTATCTACATCCACAATAGATATTCTAAATGTTCTGAAAATGGGATTGTACCCATCTGTGACTTCAAACTCAAAACTGTCCATTTTTACTTCATCATCAGAGGTGTGAATGTAAAAAATCTTGCTGCCTGCTAACTGAAGTTGGGTAAAAGATCCAATGGGTATCCCAGGAGTGTCTGTGCTCTCAAGGTGCCCCCTGACTGGGGCCCGTGTGACAGTAAAAACTAATTTCTCGTCAGGACTGTTGAGATCAGAGGTGCTTAGAAGATCCGTGGACAAGGTCACCCTGCCACCTTCTCTTAGAGACACACCTTTACTGATCACATCTGGGAATATGATGTCAGTGCTGCCCACAGTGATATAGAAGTAACGATCTATGAGTGAATTTATGTCATCAGTCACATCAAATTTGATTAAATCTCTGAAGCCATCTTGTCCATTGTGTGCATACAATATGAGTCCTACATCAATTTCAGATTGTGTAAAATTCATGCCAAGTGTGATGTTCTCAACAAACCCGTATGGTGTTTTTCTCTGCAGGAGACCCTGGCTAGGGCCAAATCGGATTATATATGTTAGCGTGCCGTCTTCAGAATCTAAATCTGTTGCTTTGAGGATCTTATTATTAATCTCCTTCGTCTCTCCAACTTCCACCTCCAGGCCATCATTGATAGCCATCCTGGGGGTCTCATCATCAACAGGGATGATCATAATAACGGCTGTTTTCTGCACAGAATACTTTCCATCTGTCACAATGATATCAAAGCTGTCCTCCGTTGTCTCTGAGTCATCGTGCTCATAAATAATACTCGACGCCTCTCTAATCTCTTCTAAGGTGAAGTTAGACACCAAAACAGAGCCTGTGGATAGCTGACTTAAAATGGCACCATGTTTGGGAGGTTTGGAGATGATGAACATCAGCTCCTCAGGTGGAAAATCAGCATCTGCGCCATTCAGAATCGGAGGGTCGATGATAATGTTCATCCCCTCCATCACAACTATCTCCCTTAAATAAATCTCTGGCTTTTCATCATTTGTTGGGATGATTATGATTGGAAAGAAATGGTTCTCTGAGAAATTGATGCCATCAGAGCACCTAAATGTGAACCGATCCTCCACTGGTTCTACCCCCTTATGAATACTCTGCACATAGAAGATATTTCCTTCCCTTATGTCTCTTAGAGTAAATGCACTGATAGCTGTTCCTGACCTTGACTTCTCTGAGCCTGGAGCTGGGGATATATTTTCTACATAGCCTGCAATGGGCTGCACAATGACAGTGCAAAGGATGTCATCTGTTGGAGTGTCATTATCATCAGCGTTCAAGTGCTGAGAGCTAATACCATATTTCTCTCCTTCAATAACGCTGAACTGGAGCCCAACTCCAATCTCAGGGGCCTGATTGTCAACAGGCAGGACAGTAACTTGTACATGGACTCCACTGACTACATTGCCCCCTACTGTCCAATCATCAGACATATCTGTGAGGGTCAAATTAAATCCATCTTGCTGAGAGAAGAGACCTATCTCACCACCAGTGTGTGCATACACAACTTCTCCATTAATTATGTCGGCTTGTGTAAACCTTGCAGCAGGCAATCCTTTAACTAATATTTCCCCAAAGACAGGGGGATCTTCCATAATAAATGTCAGCTGGAAATCATCAGTATCATCATCATGACCCTGAATCACATTTGCTGTGATTTCTGCCACACCATTTTCCAGCACGTCCATGTGAGACCCGATTGTTCCTGAGGAGAGGCTGTTGGAGGGAGTTTCATCATCAAAGGGCTTTACAATAACTTTAACTGTCACAGTCACAACATGTACCCCGTCACTGATATCAAGCTGGAAATCATCGCTCACTGTCTCCTCCCCATTGTGAATATATGATATTTTTCCCTCTGAGATATCATCAAGTTTGAAAATCCTGTTTTTCTCCAGGTCAGTGAATGCAGCCTTAATCTGGCCATGTTTAGGTGGTCGACTCAGAGCACAAGTTATCTTTTCGCTTTCTGTATCAAGGTCTTGGGCATCCAGCTCTGTAGCAGTTATAATGTGCATTCCGCCTTCAAACACGGTAAAACCTGTGTTTGTGATTTGCGGTGGGTTGTTATTGACTGGCTGCAGAAAGATTGTGAACACCCCCTCTACACTGTTCCCCGCCATGTCTTTGACAGTGTAACGGAACTGTACTACATGGGCCGTAATTCCCAGTTCCACATTTGGGGGCGCATAGGATATCTTATGATGGTTTATTTGAGCTTGTGTAAACTCTGTCACTTTGGAGTCAGGATGATCTGTCAACACTAATGATCCAAATACAACGGGGTTATTTTCATCTGTATCAGTTGGAGCCTGGATGAGTGCATATTTGAGGTCACGATCCTCTGAGTCCATATCAGTGTAGCGGAGGACCTCTTTAGTGAATTGAGTGAGTTCATACTCCTCAACAGTCATCTGCAGGGTAGTGCCAGGGTACAGCTCTGGGGGCACATCATCAATCGGTAAAACACGAATTACAAATATACTATCTCCAGATAAATTAGGTGGGTCATTGTCATCCTGAACAGTGAACATAAAATGATCCATGATTGTTTCTGTGCTATGGGGACCTTTGTGCCTGTAAAATAACTTTCCATCTGTGATGTCTTTCTGAAGCCATTCTGTCACCTCCTTCTCATACATTTCATCCTCAGCATTAAATTTCCAAGAGGAGGGATCCTCCGGGGCATCTGACTGTCGCAGGAGCACCGTTCCAATTGTGGAAAAAGGGGGAATAATGGTAAATTTAATTGTTGAGTCTTCAGAGTCAATATCAGCAGCACTGAGCACGAGAGGCGATATGGGAATCGTTTGGTGTTTGAAAAGCACTAAACCCATGTTTGCATTGATGATTGGTGACTCATCATCAGTGGGGACAATAGTGATAGGAAAGAGAAATTCAACTTCATTTTTCCCATCTGTCATCTTGAAGACAATATTGTCACTGTATGTGTCGCTGCCATCATGCTGATAGACAACAGCCCCTGTTGTGAGGTCAGCAGGTGTGAAAATGTTTCTCTGAGAGCCCAGCACCACGAGCCCCCCATGCCGTAGGCCGTCCACCACTGAGACTGTGACAGAGTCCAAGTTGTCCTCATCGCTGATCTCCAAATTGTGTGTGCTGATGAGGGGCCGTGACTGGCCCTCATACAGCAGCTGACCCGTGTTACGCGTCACAACAGGGGCCAAAGTGTTCATCGGCTTCACAACAATCATAAAGGCAAATGGGTCAGAGACAGCGCCCTCTGTGTCTATCACCTCAAACTCCAGCTGAAAAATTCTTTCTGTGTCCGAGTCCAGAGAAGGTGGAACATAAGCTATTTTCAAATCCTGCAGGTCTTTTTGGTAGAAGGAGGTGATTGGAAGGTTTCTGTCATCTGTGCTGACTATGTAACCCTCTTCATAAGATAAGGGAGAACTGATGTTAAAAATAAGCTCTTCTGGGTCTGACTCTGTATCCTCAGCAGCCAGCATGTCAGGGGTGAAGGCTGTCATCACAAACTGGCTCACCTCCATCATCATCATGGTTACAAAGCTGGGTTTGGGGGGAGTGTTCTCCTCTCCACCTCTGATGCGAACCATAAGATGAAAATACTCCTGTTTCACCAGGTTCCCTTCTTTATCGTGGAGCTCTGCAACCATAGGAACATAATCCCTGTTTGGAGTTTTACGATTAAACGTGTGCTGGTAGCGTATTTCCGCTTGTATGAATTCATCACAGTCCATCACTGTGGAAAGTTTACCTCCCTCAATGAGTTTTCCATATCTGGGCAGTGCGCTGGCGCCGGATAAGGATGCCACTTCGCATTTGTAATTCACTCTATCATAAGTAAACTCTAATATCTTCTTATCGATAGGATTACTAATCCCTTTCAGACGATCAACAGTGAGTGGCACGTTTTTGGTGAGTAACTCCATTGCGTAAAAACTACTTCCACCTCCATCATGAACGGGATGATAACAGTTTCGGTTTGAGCATCATACCTGAGCTGCAGCCGCACTCTGTCTCTGACTGGACTCCTGGAGCCGTAGTGAGAATACATCACGTCACTCGGACCAAAATCACATGGAAACTTTTTGGGAGAGAGGTGCCCCGGTCTCTGTGTGAGCGGGTCGTTGTCCAGCACGGTGATGCTGCACCGGTCTCCCGGCTGCGTCTGAACCACCAGGTCGTTGATGGGGTCGATGAAGACCGATCTTCCGAAAGGCACGCGTATTCCGTTGTTGGCCACCAGGATTGCGTCTTCCGACAGCTCGGACCGGAGCGCGTAAAATAACCCGGAGCTGTTGGGCTGCGCTAAAACAAAACCTGTTACTGAAAAGCACAGGAGAAGTCCGCGGAGCAGCATCTTCGCGTCCGAAAACAGTGACGCTGTCGATGTGCAGCCGTGCAGTGCCCACCCAGTCTGTTTCACTCGAAAAGAATCAAATCCCAGGAAATGATGGGAGTCAGATGGATGTGACTCCCGCACATCTATCCGTCCGAAGCATCCACATACTCAGCCTCCACAGCGCACACGAGTTTTAACTTCATGCTCCAGAGAAGCACTGGCTGAGCTGCTCCCGCCCATCCCTGCACGTATTGGAGGATTTTTGAAGGCTTGTGGGGTCACCAGCATCGCTAATGGTCACTACACTTGACAGTCACCAAAAGAGGCTGGATTAGGAAGATGAGCTGAATTACTTCCAGTGGATATAATTGACTTGGCACTACACCATTTATCGGCTTTCTCCAGGTACAAGCACTTTGCGAAATGATAAGATAAATTAAATATGACATATCACGATGAAGGTGTCTTTAATTTTATTTTTCAAACACAGACACCTTAAGTAAAATGATCAATTAGACTTTTACTTTCAACCAATGATGTAAAAACAGTTTTAACAAATTTATTAAGTTAACATGCTAAATGTATGTTCTAAAATGTTTTAGTCTTAACTCAGACGTTTTGAGTGAACTCTGTTTTGTCTTTCTTTCTGTCTGTCTTTCTTTTTTCTTCCTATATGGTTATAGAAACAACTGGTTGTGGTCTAATAAACCACGTGTTCCAGGTTTTGCCAGGTTTTATTTATTTATTTTTAAACTTTTTTTTATCATGTCACCCATATCCTAATGATTAAAGGAGTTAATACTTGTGGCAACAAATGTCCTCATGATTTAAGGCACATGTGTCAAACTCAGTGCCCACAGGCCAAATCTGGCTGATCATAACTATTTCTGAGGGCACAGCTGGTAGAATTAGTCAGTCTATATTTGAATAATCAAATAGAAGAGCAGCTAGAATAGCAGCAGCTGCACAATTAATCAACATTTTATAAACAACAGGAAAGTAACATGTTTTCAACTTTCACAAACTTTATAGCATAATAGCACAGACTGATCAATGCCAAATATTTGTAATTAGAAAAATATTTTACACCTACATCATTGTCATCCGTGCACATAAACAATTTTTGGCGATACATAGGATTCCCTCTTTCACAAAAGATACATCTACTTGGCTTTCTTTGTCTAGAAAAGTATGACCAATAAGAACCTCACCTCACTCTTTCATAAAGTCATATAGTTTGTCCTCCATATCAAAGCGAATCAATAAGCAATAGTTTGTGAATAGTTTTTATTTTTCTCCATACAATACATATAAACACTTAATTAAACAAACATCTTCATATAAATTCTGTTCAAATCATTATCCATCACCAAACAAATCCAGAGAACACTATAAAATGTGTAACTATCAGATATAAAGTTTGATTTAAAAGTTATCGCAGATGCTCATATTCGATTCTCCCAAAATCTCTTTTTTGTAGTGTCACTAGAAATGTTCTCATATTCTGATGTTACCTGCTGAAGGGTTTGGCAGTCTGTGTGTTTCAGGTTTTACCCAAGGTAATAGAAAACAGAAGTGTCTCTAACACTCTGCTATTAGGAAATAGGAGCAGTACACATATGACTTTTTCATGGAAACTGTAACATACATGTATTCACATTATTGCTTTAAAACATACCATTTGGTTCTTATTTTGTCTACAAACACATACACAGATGAAACTGGACAGAGTGTCACTTCAGCTGTGCATCCAATGACAAGAAGATAGATGATTCAATAATTCAAGAGCTTGCTCACTACTCTCTGACCACCATGTATTTGCCAGTATCTTTCAAATATATTTGTGTATGTATGTATGTATGTATGTATGTATGTATGTATGTATGTATGTATGTATGTATGTATGTATGTATGTATGTATGTATGTATGTATGTATGTATGTATGTATGTATGTATGTATGTATGTATGTATGTATGTATGTATGTATGTATGTATGTGTACATACTTGCAACAATATACTTACATGTGTAAGTATGTATATTGTATAGTTATGTTTATATGTTTATATACATATGTGTGTGGATGCTTGATTGTGTGTGTGCATATGTTTATTGATAGTATATCCATCAGTTTTTTATCATGTCTGTCATATTTTTCTGACAATAAAATTGACAATACAGGAATTTAATTATTTTTGTCTCAGCTCTCTCTTCACCATGACAGACTGGTACAGCGCCCGCTTCACTGCAGACGCTGCATCAATACGCCTGTTGATCTCCCGCTCCATTTTTCCCTCATTCGTGAACAAGATGTCGTGATACTTAAATCTTCCACTTGAGGCAGGACATTCTCCGACCTGGAGAAGGCACTCTATTCTTTTACAGCTCATTTATTTATGCATTATTTATATAGTTATAATTTTTTTTATCGAGATGATAAAAGCAAAAACCTTGAACACAATAATCAACAGGTTTTGCATGTCATTCAACACACTCACTCACTTAGTTTTCTCATCCAGGGTGTCAGACACACACAGAGACACACACACAGACACGCACACACAAATAATACACATGCACAATAAAGTATAGGCGGCAATGTTAGCTAGTTGGTTAGTTAACTAGTGTTAGCTAACTCTGAAGAAGGTTAATATGTTGATTAGTGACCTAAACTCTGTCACAGTACTCATGACTGACATGCACACACACATTTGTGAGGTAAAAAATAAAGATAATACTTATATGAAAAAGTTCTTTCATATAAATATATAAAATAACAACCTTCCTCTTGTTTTGGTTATTTATAATAAAAAAAAAATAATTCTAAATTCTCTAAACTGTTGCTATAATCAAAAACGTAGGCACATAGAACAGATAATTAGCTTTCACGAAAACAAAAACGATAATGTTTTGCATAACCTCCTTTCTTGTACTATATGTTAATTTGAGTAATTTCTCACATTTATAAACCTTTATGTGGAAGGAAGGGTCAACATCTCGCCCAGTATTATGTTTCCATTCAGAAAAATGTTGATTATTACTAAAATAAGTTTTGTCCATAAAGTATGTAGTACATTTCTGTAATTAGTTCACTGCAGGTTTTTATTTTTTATTTTTATTTATTTATTTATTTTTTGTATGTAATTAATATCAGAGCCAATTTGATATTATTCCTTTGGATGTCTGGGTTATTTGAGTTGTTGCCAATATGTGGTGTGCATTTTATGTCAAAAGAAAAATTTAAAATATATTGACAGAAAGAAAACATTGATGGGTTCAGCACATATTTTACCCAGCAGGTAATGTAAATGGGTATTTTAGAAGGTTCAATCTTCATTAGTTATCCATGAGAGAAGAAGTCTCATTTTGTTGATGAATGGCTTTTTATAACCTTTCACTCTTTAACTTTTATGAATCAATTTTCTGCAGAGTTTTTCATTGCTCAATAATCTGACAGGTTTCCAACATGAACATTTGAAAATGTCTAAACTCACAAGGAAGACAGCTGCAATGCTGGATGTAAGCCTTACCAGTGTTTGTAGCCACAGTCAATTTTCCATTCTCCTTCTCTGGGTTTAGAAAGCATGGTGATTAGAGGGCTTCCAGAGGCATGTTATTTTGAAACACAAAGACCAGCCTTATTTGTTTCCAGCTGTTTATGCCTGAAATCCAGAAACACATTCTTCTTGTGACTTTACAAGAGAAAAACAGCTATGCATGCATGACATTGATGCAAATCCATAAGGTAGATTGCATTGAATATCAAAACCTGAGGACAATCACAAGATAAGTTAGACAAAATTAGAGACCCCTGCGCATTTTCATCTGCAAATTTGTCTTGCAATAATTGTTTATAGCTTTATTATTTTCAAAGAAAACTAAGATTAAATGATACACAGAATTTTCATTGATGGGCACGTGTTTGTGTTATCCCCATCATTCTGACCCTCAAGTCAGACAGACGTTTCTTCTGTTCCCATGTGACCAATTAGCACTCCAAATCTGGTTAATCCCTGCAGCTCTCTTATCACCTCACAGGTACAATAGAAGTTTTGGAAAGCTCAGTCGCATATTTATGGCACATTCTCACAGCGCAGAATATAGGGTTCCCTCTGCGCAGCAGCTGCTATGCAATGATAAGGCCCCACGTGGAGACTTTGAGGTTTTAGACTACACGGCTCAGTGAAAAATTCAAAACTGCCAACTAATGACATTGTAAGGGTCAGCTGTTCAAAAAAAACGGTTGCTATAGAATAAACCTTGGTATGGTTGTCATGAGTTACTATAAAATTTTCTATGGGCTCAATCATTTAAAATAGAAGATTTTTGTGAAAAAAATATTTTTTCTTAATTGGATTTTATGTTCTAGTTACTAGGATCAACTTAAAGGAGGATTGTAAACTCTCGAATGAATCAGGACAGTTTACTGCATCACATGGTAAGTAAATATTATGATTATGTTTTTAAAATATGCATAACAATTACAATAAAAAATAGAGGACACACAGATGAGCCACAACATTTTAACACAACACACAGATCACAGCTCATAGACCTTGAATAGAAATTCAATATAACTTGTGCTGTAGTGATTCAAAATGAATCCTATCATTTATCTACACAAGAATATACTTACAGTGATTTTCAAAGAATTCATGCTCCTTGTTTTTATATTCAGTAAATCTAAGTGGGGCAAAGAAAGCAACTGATGAAAGAAAATCCTAAAAAAGTCCTGTATCCAGTTTGACACAAACCATGTAAGGGACATAGCACACATCTTTCAAGTGGCGCTCTGGTCAGATGAGAGCACAATAAACTTTTTCTATATACACATAGCATGGTGGAAAACTATCACTGCATTCCACATTGCACACACAATTTTCATGATGAAACATGGTGTTGGCAGCATCATGAGGGTTACTTTAACTGTTCAGCAGGAGTTAACAGGAGTTTTGATTGGGACTGTAAAAGGTCCAAACCTGGAATACAAACTTTTACAGGCTGTAAACAACTAAAAAAATCAGAACCAAATCTTCAAACTCGATGACTTATTTGAAATTATATTCAGGTGTTAAAAATGGTCCATAGAGACTTCAGATCTAAATTCAAATGAGTATCTGTGACTGGAAAAATTATGTCTATCAACCCTTCT